ACACCAAATTACATTTGATATAACTCCAGTAGAGTCAGTGAAGGCATAATTAGTGTGGTGGACGTGCTGTACCTGGTTGAGGTTTTAGGGATTAAACCAGAAGGGAGTAGCTGGGACGGAAGTCGCTAGTTGAGGAGGAGGAGCATTTGGCATGATCACTGGTGTGAAGAGAGGGAAAGCCAGGTTCAATTTCATAATCTCCATCAAATGTCTACATCTATACTTTGCATAGGTCATACTTGTGTTTTGTGAACATTTTAGAAAGCTTCCCAGATCCCAAAATGTAGACTGCCAACAACTGGATTTCAGTTGTAAAGACACTTCTTTAACATGTGAAAACATGAGATTCTTCTATGTAATGGGAAAGGAAAATTGAACTGGACTGGGCTCAAAGCCAAGGGTAAATGAGCTGCAGTGTAAACCCAGGGTGGGTACTCAAGGAATGTAGAGCATCTCATCTGACAGAGACTGTTTCATTTTCAATTGAAAAGTAGGTGGGGTGGGAGGGACATTTACAGATGTCTTAAAGGAGGAACAATATTTTAAGGGAAAAAAGAATGTTAGCCATACAGCTGTTGATGAATAGGGAGTGATTTAGCCTAAATAGAATTCTAGACATCTCTTGTTATATCATTGCTAACACAGTTCATCCTTTTGGGCATGAGCCTTTTAAGGAAAATATACGAAATGTTTTAAATCTGAATCTCTCATCGCCAATTCTTACCTACTGATTTCACCTCCCACTGTTTTTTCTGTAAGGATTCTTCTGTCTTTCACAGAAGAGCTTTCCTATTTTTAGTTTTTCTATCTTCACTTCTGAAGCTGTTTTAGTTTAACAGTTTCTGCTGTCATTTAAATAAATCATTAGGAAATAATGTTTCAGCATTATTATAAGTATTGAGGAACACATGGAATGAATGAAGTTGTGTAGAGTTATTAACCTTTCCAAAAGGATGAAGACATTTATATATCGATATAAGAAGTTAAAAGTGTAAAATCCACAGCTTTAAATATATTCAACCCCAAATAATTCTTTTTTCCTGAACTGTTTTTGATAAGAAGTTTGCATTTGCCAAAGGAACACAAATTTCCAGTCAGTTTTCCCTCTTTTGTTTTTCAAAGATTACAAAGAAAATTGAATACCACTATTTCGTATGGGTACAGAAGCTCTGATAATTAAGATTATATTACGCTCAACATTATACATCCACCAGAACTGAGCAGTACCCAGTTGAGAATTTTCTCAAATAGTTTCTATTTCTCATTTCTTTATTGTCCTAAAAACTCCAGGTGCAAAATGTAACATTCTTTCAGATGTCCTTTTGTTTGCATGTCGCTTTAGATATTCTTAAAGACAGATATTATTTTGTTCACAATATTACAGATAATGTGTTTTCATAGGGAGAAACAGTCTTTACATGGATTTTTAACCAAAGTGGAAAATAGAATCTCTAGTTTCTATTTGAGATTTATTTATAAATACATTTTAAAAGTTAACATTTAAGAAAATTATTAGCAGAAACAGATCTGTGCAATAATATATATTTGTCATTGTCTTCTCCATACCGATCAAGAATTAAATTGAAAGAGACGAAACAGGACTTGGGGGTAAACAGCATTCTCCATAGACTTATAGATTTTGTCATTGTATAGGGTCCCGTACTCCATACTCTTCACTCTTAGCTTAAGAGTGTCTCATGATACCTATCACTGTATTTCAGGAAAGCAGTGCATGTGCCTGGTGGACCTGGACCGAGCAAGAGCTGCAGAAGAACGTGGCTACTCTGCTCAAGTGATATCCATGGAGCCAGAGAGCTGCTCTCCCAAAAATAACATGATCGTGGGAGTCCCCGCTTAGAACAAGATATTTACATTTGATGTTTTGCCATCCGTCTTCATGATGAAAGCCCGGTGGCATTCAGGAGGCTCTTGGCATAACTAGCAAGCAGCATTAGCCATCTTGAACCTATTGTGCTCAGGAAGGAAAGCAGCAGGGAAATCTTTGAAGAAGGGCTGCCTGCAAAGCATCACAAATGCTCTTCTAATGTGTGATTAAAAGACCACTGGTTTTCCTAGTGAGAATCCCCTGAAGTCTCGGCTGCCAGCAGAATAATAGTCACTAATGGAGGTTCCATCACTGGAATAACAATTTCCTTCTCAGTTCACAGCTTTTCTGATGTGGCCAGTATGTTCAATTCAAAACAATGTACTCGCAGCCTTTATAACCATTTAGATATTAAAGAAGAGACCAAAGTAGATTCAGTGGGATTTTTGTTTTTTATATTTCTAACAATTGCACTTTTTCTACAATTTTTTTAAATCTAGGTAATTACAGTGTGGTTAAACTTTTAGGCTCGGGTGAGTTGGACTTGCATATCATTACATATACTTAATTTAAATATTCTTCTTATAAATTACCCAATGAGATTATCACTGGTTCAAACATTTTCTATGAAGACACTATAAAATAATTGCAGTGAATTTCGCATTATGAGAACACATAATGTGGACATAAATTCTAACTCATCAGTAAATACATTGATTAATTAATTAAAGTCTAATTAATTAAAGTAAATATAAATAATTATTGAGGATCCATTATTTTTAATCTAGACCCTGGCCTAGATTCTTCTAAGGATACAAAGAAGAGTTGCAAGAGATACGAAGTCTTGCCTCTGGAAGTAAATCAGCTAGATGAGAAAGATTAATGAATTAGTTAAGTTCTTTATGTATGTGTGGTCACAGGATTTGTTTTTCATATATCAGTCATATATTTTTTTTTATTTCTGATAAAACATATTGAATTTAAATTATAAATTGGAATTGGGAGGAGAACAGAGTATAGAAGCCTATTTGAATAGCTGTCTCTACCCAAATTCTTATTCCACCAGCCAAAGTTTTTAAAGACAGATGGTATGTCCTTTCTCACATGCTGCTAATTATTTATTTGTTTACATGTCCTAGGTTATTCCATTTGAGATAAGATTTATTTCATCAATTTTGATGTTTTCAACCCTGTATGACACATACCATGAGAAGAAAGGACTTTAATAAGTAACTCTTTCATCTCTGTGGATTAAAATACAGGAATAATATATGGAAGGGTGGAGACCTTGAACTCGTGTTTTCTGGGATAAAATTTGAGAAAAGACTTAATCATCAGCCCTGAGTATTTTAGTCATTTGAACCTGTAAATGTGCCATGCTCTTTTATCCTGGGCTTTCTTATTTTAATTGAGGTATAATTTACAGACAATAAAATAACAGATATTAAGTGTTCAGTGTATACCCATGCAACCACCAGCAGAAATAAGATATAGAATATTTCCATTAGCATAGAAAGTTCTCTCATGTCCCTTTCAGTTCAATATCCCCCATCCAAAAGGCAACCATGCTCTGATTTCTGTCACCCTACATTTGTTTTACCTATTTTTGTCCTTTAAATAAATCAAGTAATTTAGTATGTAGTTTTTTGTGTCTGGCTTCTTTTGCTTCACAGTATTTTTTGAGAAATAGTCACGTCGTTATGTGTATCAATCATTTCTTCTTATTCCTACATAATATTCCATTATATAAATATACCAAACTGTGTTTATCCGTTCTCCTATTGGTATTTATTTGGACTGTTTTCACTTGAAGAATATTATGAATAAGGAATATTCTTTTGCAAGTCTTTTTGTGAATATATGTGTTTTCATTCCTTTTGAATAAATAAATACCTAGTAGTAGAATTGCTGGGTCATTGAATAAATGAATGTCAGTTGCCAAACAACTTTTCAAAGTGATTGTGCCATTTTATATTCCCACCAGCGACATGAAAGTTCTAGTTCTCCACACCCTCACTAACATTTGCTATTTATTGTCAGTCCTTTTTATTTTAACCATTCTGCTGGATGTGAAATGGTGTGTCATTGTGGTTTAATTTTCATTTCTCTGATGACTAATAATGTTATTTATCATTTATAAAGTGTCTTTTCAAATCTTTTGCTCATTTTTAAAATTAGGTTAATTGGGGGTTTTATTGTTGATTTATAAGAGTTCTTTATATATTCAGGATATGAGTCCTTTGTCAGATACATGTATTGAGAATATTTTTCTCAGTCTGTGGCTTACCTACTCATTTTCATAATGAATGTTTTAATTTTTATAAAGCCTAATTTATCTTTTTTCATGGTTAATGTTTTGTGTGTCCTCTCTAATAAATCTTTAGCTACCCTAAGGTTATGAAGAGTCTTCCTATATTTCCTTATAGAAACTTTATGGTTCTAGCTTTTTACATTTAAGTCTATGATTTATCTGAAATCAATATTCACATATAGAGGTAAGTAGGTTTTGAGGAATATACAGTTTGACACCATTTTTTAAAAACCTTTCTTCTCCCTATTGGATTGACTTGGCACCAAGGTTGAAAATCATTTGTTTTTTATGTATGAGTCTACTGAATTCTCTAGTCTGCTCCATTAATCTATTTGTTTAATTACTGTAGCTGTATAGTAAGTCTTAAAATTGGGTAGTTGTCTTCCAATTTCATTTTATTATTATTTGATAGTTTTGATGTTATTACCTTGAGTTTTTTACGTGCTGTCTCCACCCAGAATAGCCTCCTCTTATCCTTCCCACTAGCTTAATCTCATTCAATCTTCTGTCTTAGACTTGACCTCCTATGGGAAGCCTTTCCTAACTTCCCCGGCGTTAGTACCTGTTATAAAATGTGCACCTTTGAGAGGACCCTTCTGTATCCTCCCCAGGTGACTCAAAGCATGAACCCTCCCCCTTCAAAAATAGACCATATGATGAATATGGAGAATAAAAAAGGAAGTGGCCCCACTGTTCTCCCATCCTTGTTCTCAGGCATGGAATTTTCCAGTGATGATGGCTGTTGTTAGCCGTACATGTGGGTGTTAATGATTGCTCTTGAATCATGATTTTCCTGTGTAAATCCTTGCCAAGGCTCCTTCTCAGCCAGGGCAAATAAAAGGTGTTGGATTCAGGCATCAGAAAGGTTGTGATGATAACAATCCCAGCAAGTGACCTGTTCTCACCCCTATCCTTGTCCATCAAAAGCAAAGCTGCTCCTCACTGATCTGTCTTCCCCCATGTTGTAATATTAGAAGCCAGAGCTTATCTTTCATTTGTTTTTGAGCCTGACTCAGAGGAGCAGGGGTATAATTATTAATAGCTAAATAACTTTATCTATTTAGGGGGACAAATTTCAGTCATATTAGAAATCAAAACACTTTCAGAGTACATATGCAAAATGACATGTGAATAACAATAACTAAACATTTCGTCTCATTCTAAAGATTTTGGCTACAGATGTTGCCCACTCCATGGTTCAAGAAAATTGCCATTAATAGAGCTTCCACATACTGACACCTGTTTCTCTATTGACTTTTATAATAAAATTAAAGATTTGTTCCTGTGGAATTGATATAATGAAATCATAATAAAGAAGCAATACATATTTTTTTAAAAACAGACTCTCAATGCAAAGTACTTAGAAGTTGTTGAATAGATTTTTAAAAATTACACCAGAAATACATATCTGTTGAAGAAAAACTAGATGTAGCTAAACAAAAAGAGGGAAAAAATTTAAGTCATTAATACTTTGTTGTATACCTTCCTAGACTTCGTTCTACATGTACACACACACACACACACACACACACAAATTTATTTAGCAAACAAACACTAATACAATTTTTAATATTTGCTAGGCACTCTTATAACCCCTTAAGATAAATAAAGACTTATTTAGCCTTTGTAAGTCATTCAATCATCAGAATGACCCTAAGAACTAAATACCATTAGTAATCCCATTTTATAGAAACTAAGGCCAATGTTTTACAGTAAAAACAGACTCAGATTTGAACTCAGCCAGTAATTGGCACAGCTCATATTGAAATCAAAGCTCCTTAGCATTGCTATCAGGATTGGCTGGGATATGCTATCCTAACAAAATCTCTGCCTTTTGAAGTTCTGCACAAGAAAGATGTATTTTTTTACTCATACGATATATCCTTCCAAGTTAGCTGTGACTACGCCACATTATCTTCACACCTGACCAGGCAGCCTCTATCAGGAACATAGCTGGCCTCATCGCAAAGGAAAAATAGGCATGGCGAACTATTCTAGCTACTAAAGAGTCTCAGATGTGATATATTGGGTTGTTGGAAAAGTCATGATGCATTTTTGCAACGAAAAACAGAAAAAATACGTCATGACTTTTTCGACAACCCAATACTTCATGTCCCCAGGTTTGCTGACTAAAGAAAATCACACAGCCCCCTGAGTTTAACAGGGTGGAGGGAGATTGTAGATAATTGCAAACAATAATAAAATGTGCCAGCAGCAATGTAGTTAAAATTAAAAGAGAAAGAAAGGGAAAAGAAGGAAAAACAGGGCAGGAAGGAAAGGCCACCGCCTCTTCCATTTGAGAACTAGAGACTGAATGTGACGCCCTGGTGTAGGGCATTTTATTGGATCCATCACAGAGAGGGAAGGCTCGTGCACAAGCACTTCCTACCATTGCTCTGTGGACTTTTCACACTTGCCGAAAAGTTTTCCAGAAAAACACTCAAAGGATTTTTTTATTATTATTACTCTAGGAGGTTGTAGAAACTTCTATTAAATGGAGTTTCAAACTTGCAAATTCTGCCTCATGTATTAAAGTACTTGATCTGTAATGTCGGATAGGCCTTTAGGAAGGTATGAGTTTACACTCGTAGGACTGTATGGTTACATCCCCATACTCTTTACCAGCACAGGCATTACCAGATTTGTGTTTTAATCTTAGCCAATTTAATGGGCAAAAATGCTATTTTGGTTTGATATTCATTCTTGAAAGTATGCACTTGATTGCATACTTTTCAAATGTTTATTGGTCATGTATACTCTGTGAATTGTCTATCATCAATTTATTCATTTAATCAAAGCATCTATTGAGTTCTTGCTTTGAGGCCAAGTATTATATTCATATTTCTTACTCTGTTTTTATCTGTTACTTTTATCTTTTATATGGAGATTAGTAAAGGTTTATTTATGGATTAAAGACTTCTTGTTAATTACATTACAATATTTTAAAGTTGGCATTTATGGAGGAAGGTGTTGTTTTTGTTTTGCTATTATCAACTTTAAAACACACATCTGGCATGTCACTATTTTCCTTGTAACTTCTGCTTAAAAAGATTCTTTTCCACCCAGTGATAAAAAAATAAATATTTACCTATATTTTTGGTATTCTAATTCTTTAATAGTTTTAGATTTTATAGTTAAATCTTTAACCTAGCACTTTTTTTTCAGGTGGGTGGTTTGAGGTACAAATCCAAAATTTCTTTTCACATAATCATTTTCACTATACCACTATAAAAATTCAACCTTTTCCCATTGATTTGAGATATCTTTAGTACACTAAGTATACTTGGGACTTTCTTCACTTTTACTTCAGTTTCTTGAATTATTGTACCCAAATCACAATAAATTATTGCAGCTTTAAAATACATTTTGACAAATAACAGGGTAAGTTATATGTTTGGTAAAAATATGAAGGGTTTGTGATTTCAAACACAGAGAGTGTATGAAATGTGTGAACCTCTCTTGAAATCATACCCTTTAGTTCTAATAGAAATACATTTTCCTGGAGAGACGGACCATAATTTTAATTAGATTTCAAAAGGATCCAAGACCATAAAAACATTGTCATTGGTCAAAAGGAAATGAAAATATTGTAGCAGAAATCAATGTTCTTCACTAAATAATTAGCCAAATACTATAATCTTTTCTCTAATATTTACAATAAAAGAATCATTTTTTGCTTTTGCAGGACTCATTTTTCATAGTACTCTAAAGAAGCTAGGTTTTGTTCATTTGTGTTTGTTTGTTTGTTTGTTTGCATTTAGGTCTAGTTTATCTGACCCAAATAACAACAGTATATAATCAAGCAAGAAAACAAAATTCAGCAGAGGAGAATTATTTGCTGGATGACAAATCTAGAGTCCTGAAAATTTCCATAATGTGTGACAGTTTCTGTGTTAGCTGCTGTCAACTCCTAGAAGGTTTTCTGCTCAACTAAAGAGGCCTTTCCGTTACTCTCTCCCCACAATATGTATGTGTATATTTGTTATGTATTCCTCAGTAAAATTTAAGCTCCAAGCAGTCTGTTTCATCCACCATTATACTTTCAGTACTTAATACTGAAAGTTAGGCACATAATAGGAACTCGATAAATATTTATAGATGAATAATATATTTTAACACTTTCCATATGGGGAAAAAATACATATTAGGTTTTCCTTTCTCCTTTATAGACATATATTCAGATGTCGGGCATGTGGGATTCTTGTATTGTTTTAGTTTGTGTTGTTTTTATTTTGTTTAATGTTCTTAAAATATATTTAGCAAATCCAATGCTAAAGAAGACTAAAAAGTGACAGTTACTGCCTCCATCATCTGAATAGTTTTTATGAAC